CTCGTTTGAAAAACTTGCAAGAGCTTCACGAATTGAGGGCGGGTGGTTTTGAAAATGCGGCTCTCGCCATAGCGCCGCGTACATTCGTTTTAAAACACTTGCAAGAGCTTCACGGATTGAGGGCGGGTGGTTTTGAAAATGTGGCTCTTGCCTTGGCGCGGCGCACATCCGTTTAGAAAAATGGCAAGAGCTTCACGGATTGGGTCGTTTTCGAAATGTGGCTCTCGCCTAAGCGTGGCGCACATTCGTTTGAGAAAATTGGCAGGAGCTTCACGAATTGAGGGCGGGTGGCTTTGAAAATGTGGCTCTCGCCTTAGCGCGGCGCACATTCGCTTTGAAAATTTGCAAGAGCTTCACGGACTGAAAGCGGGTGGTTTTCAAAATGTGGCCTTAGCGCGGCGCACATTCGTTTAAAAAAATGGCAAGAGCTTCACGGATTGAGGGCGGTTGGTTTTCAGAATGTGGCTCTCGCTTTCGTGCCGCGAAAATTCTCTTCTAAAAATTCACAAGACTTTCACGGATTCCATGGTCAACGTGCCGGAAATGGCGTTCTGGAAAGACTCAGGATTACGAGGGTTTAACGGTTACGCTGATTCGAAGTACTCAAATCCCAGGAATGGCGTTCTGGCGCGATTCTGTATCGTCAAGACGTAACAATCATGTTGATCCGTGGCGTTGGAATCCCGAGAGTGATGTTTTGGCATGGTTCAGGGTCTTCAGAAGGTTGTCTTCCAACGGGGCACTTCCCTCAGTGGAAATGAACCCTTGTAGGGGCCCATGGAGAGGGAGCTTGGAGGGAGGGTTGATGCCAACATTGTTGATGACTTTTGGGCTTGCACTGGTCCTCCTCCTCCTCCTCCTCCTCCTCCTCCTCCTCCTCCCTCTCATCCTTCGTCCTCTTCCTCTGCCAAGTGTTCCCCCAAGAGGCCCGGCTACGGCCGGGGAACATGCACAGTCCAATAGCTTGGCCAGACTTCGGCCCAACGCTTGGCCGCACGGGCGCTTCCAGGAAGCAGGGGGAACGGACGGTGGTTCGCCGTGGGCGTCTTCGATACGAGACCGTTTGTCATGGAGCGGGGTTTGGAGACGCCAGCAGGACCCCTTCCCGAAAACAAAAACAAAAAATAGGGGGCCACATGCGAACCCTACCCCTACCCCCCACGATTTCTGAGGGGGAGGGTGGGGTTCACTTCGCTCGGGAGCTTTCGAGCGAAGTGAACCCCACCCTCACCCTCAGAAATCGTGGGGGGTAGGGGTAGGGTTCGCATGTGGCCCCCTAAAAAACAACGAGATCGTGACGGACGGGGGAAATGAGAGCGGGGCACCACCCTCAAAAACAAACGCGACTGCAAGTCACGGGGAGACTGAAAAACTACGGGGGAGCAGATGTTCCTTAGTGGGATTGACTCCGACACTAAGCAACTAAGCAACAATGCAAGTAGCAGGCGAGCAACTGACCAGCACGAATGCCTTACCGTGTGTATACCTGCCTGTACATTGCACAAACGTTCTGTGCGATTCGAGCTGTTGCACACACGTATGAGTGTGTTGGTATGCTCGCGTAGGCCTTACATGTGTACGGGAGCAGGTATAGGCTCAGGTATCCTTTTAGGTGTAGGCGAGTGTGCAGGATGGGGAGCACGAGGTGGAGCAGGAGGGGAGCTGGAGAGGAAAGGGGGAGGGGGGGCGTGTGCCCAGAGGGTCCGCAAAACCCCGAGAGCATCCAGAAAGGAGGAAACGCCGCCCAAAGCTGAGGAGACACCTCCGAGGATGAAGGCAAGACCGTCATGTCAGGAGTCTCGGGTCCTTTGGGTAGCCCGCCCCCGTTGAAAGACAGCTGGCAGCCTGCCTCCTCGCAGAGCTGCTCAATCTTGACCACCTTGTCGACCTGCGCCCACGCAGTGACAGTAATGATCACCACCCAGACCAACAGCGCCTCCTCCGACTCCTCCTCATCGTATTCCTCTTTACTCTCGTCTTTCCCCTTCTCCCCATCTCTAACATCCTCGTCGTCGTCATGGGGGGAGGAGGATGCCCGGCGGTGGCGGAAGGGAGACGGAGGCCTGGCCCGCTCAGAGGAGGGCCAGCCACGCGGCTGGGCGGCGCCGGGGGTGGGGGCCAGCAGCAGCGGGGCGGCGGGTGGGAGGGGGCAAGCCAGCATGGCGGGCTGCCAGGCAGCAGGCTGAGCTGGGGGGCAGTGCCCAGCAAAAGCTGGAGGCGAAGGTGTGCACGCAGCGCCAAGGGCCAGCGGGTGCCGAGGTCACACACACACACACACACACACACTTTCTCGCTCGCTGCGGCCCAAAAAGCGCCCCAGCGGGCCGAAGGTGCCTCCGAGAAGGACCAAGTGTGCCCCAATATGCCTAAGAGTGCCCGAATACATCAAAATCACTTGCAACACACTAATCGCTGAGAAGAAAACTATGACTCGGAATCTCCGACTGTACGTGATGATGGGTGATCTGGGCACACGCCTCCCCTGGGTGGCGGTGGCTAGGCTGGTGGCGTAAATCCTGAGGCGGCCTGTGTTGACGTTCAGCTGCAGAGGACACACACACACCACACACACACACACACACAAACACACGCCACCACCACCGCCAACACTCCCACCACCACACACCACCCGCCCATGCAGCGGCCACTACTTTCGCAGCACCCCCACCCCCCACCACCACCATCACCACCACTCCTATCCCCCCTCCCCCCTCCCCCGTTCTCCACCCCACCCCACCCACCCATTCACCACCCGTTCCTCCATCGCCAACCCCCCCCCGACGCTCCCCTTCCTCGCCGCCCCCATCGCCCCAGCCGCATCACCCCTCAATCATATCCTCCGACCACCCCTCCCTCTTCCTTCCCCTCCCCCCTCCCCTTCCCCCCGTCTTCCATCCACCCTCCTCTTCGCACGTGCGGCGGCCGCAGAAGCGTAGCAAACGGTAGCATCTCCGCCTCCGCAATCCTCCTCGCATCCCCCTCCCGCCTCCACCTGCCGCCCCCCTTCTCATCCTGCCCCTCCAGGTGCAGGGCGTGAGAGTCGGGATGGGAGGGCGCGAGCGCCAAGGTGAGGGCGGGGTGAGGTTCGATGGTAGGGTCAGGGTGGGGTGAGGGTCAAGGTAGCCAGCTCGAGCGAGTCAAGCATGGCGCGCCCATTCCCACCCGCCCTCCCACAACATAAGAAACAGCGATGGCACAACGGACAGGCTGCTGTCTTCCCCTCGCCGTACTCCTAAACCCCCCAAATCCGTTCCGAAGGAAGCCTTCGGACTCCTCCCGGGTCCAAACGCACAACTTTTTCGAGTCGCGTCCAGCCGTGACTTAGAGGAGGACCCCGAGGGCCAGAAAGCTTTGAACACCGATTCTCGAGGCAACGGACAGGCTGCTGTCTTCCCCCTCGCCGTACCCCCAAACCCAGATCCGGTCCGAAGGAAGCCTTCGGACCCCTCCCGGGTCCAAACGCACCATTTTTTCGAGTCGCGTCCAGCCGTGACTTAGAAGAAGACCCCGGGGGCCAGAAAGACTCGAACACCGATGCTCGAGGCGCAAAGTTCGAGCACCTCACTGAAACACTCCCCCTCGGCGCGCCGGCGACCATGACCTGTGGGCGGCGCCGGCGCCGTGCCGCCGCGACGGGCACTCCCGGTTCGGGCTTCGAGGCTCCTCGGAAGCTCTCGCGGCTCTGGCGTTTTTCCGTCGACTTCGCACGTTTTTCCCTCGACTTCGCCCTCCAGGGAACAATTTCTGGTCCCCCGGACCAATGAGAAAATATCCAGGACGCAAAACTGCTCCCGAGAAAGGGGTCGAGATCTCAGAAAGGCTTGGGACAAATTCGCCGGCCCAACGGGCCAGAGGCGTGCAAAGATCTCCGGTAACTAATTAACAATCTTCTAGTTTGCGCGCGCGGGGCGACCCCTGGGGGCCCCTGGACGAAAAGTACCCCGAGCAAGTCCCGGGCCAGCCCAACGGGCCAGAGGCGTGCTAAGGTCTCTGGTAACAAGTTAACAATCTTCTAGATTGCGCGCGCGGGGCGGCCCATGGGGGTCCCCAGACGAAAAGAACCCCGAGCAGGTCTTGGGCACGTCGGTCCCAGCGATGGTTTTCTTCTTCGGCGCTGACTTCCAGGTCCCAGAGCGCCCCAGGAACGCCCCAAGAGAGCCGAGACGCCCCCGAGACGATCCGAGGGGCCCTGAGTCGCCGAAAGATCGTTCCAAAACGCCCAAGATTGCCTCCAGACGGCCGAAGACGCCGCCAACCAAAAAACCGCGGGGAGCCTCATCAGGAGGCCCTCCAAGAGCCTGAACAAGCAGAAACCTCCCAGGCATTCGTCACCCCAGGGCCTCCTGGAACGCCCCGGCGCCCAATGAATTGGCGAGCGAAAAACGTGCGCCGAGCCAAAGCGGGAGCGCAACTTTGAGAAAACTTCGCTTGGCGCCCCGGCGGGAAGGTTATTTCATTCACTTCGAGCGGGGGGGGAAGGGGGTGTGCCGCGCCCAATTCTTGCCATGCACTTTTGCGGGGTGGACGACAAGAACAGCTATGTGGGCAGGGAAAATCAGCATGGCAATGTTTCTGACAAGTAAGGTGGCCCCTCCCGCCTTGGGGTTGCCCCAGAAATCCGCGCGCGATGTGCGCCGCGCCCCCTTCCTGCCACGCATTTCGCATCGTCGACGACAAGACAGGCCATGATGAAAGGAAAAACGGCAACTCTGTATTGTTGTTTTACAATCAGGATGGAAGGGCCCGCAGCCCGCATGGACGTCCGCGCGCGATGTGCGCCGCGTCCCATTCCTGCCACATATTTCGCACCGTCGGCGACAAGATAAGCCATGCTGATAGGAAAAACCTGAGACTTTGTATTGATTTTGTACAGGCAGGATGGACAGGTCTGGATTGACGGCCGCGCGCGATGTGCGCCGCGTCCCATATGTGCGCCGCGTCCCATTGCTGCCACATATTTCGCACCGTCGGCGACAAGGCAGGCCATGCTGAGAGAAAAAAACGAAGACTTTGTATTGATTTTTTTACAGTCAGGATGGGCGGGCCCAAATTGACTGCCGCGCGCGATGTGCGCCGCGTCCCATTCCTGCCACGCTTTTCGCATCGTCGACGACAAGAAAGACGATGTTGAGAAGAAAAACGGCCACTTTGTATTGATGTCCGGATGGGAGGTCCCGGATTGGGTCGCTATCGGAGGGAATACGAGGTAGGTGGGGGGTATATAATTATAAGGAACAAGGATGGGGCAGAGCCTCCCTCACTTCCCCCCCTTCCCACACCCCGTCGTTGAGAGCACGATCACCATCAGCAGCATCCATCATCACCATCAGCACCACCGCCACCAGCAGTATCGCCTTCGCCATCACCGCCGATGACAACCATCACAACGAAGAGTGGGGAGGGAGAATGATTGAAGGGGGAGGAGGAGGAGGAGGAGGAGGAGGAGGAGGAGGAGGAGGAGGAGGAGAAGGCGGGCAAGGGCGGAGGAGGAGGAGGAGGAGCGGAGGAGAACTGCGCAGCTTCCTGAAGCCGAACCCAGCTCCGAAAACACAAAAGTCTCACTCGTATGAAGCCGAATTCGACTTCACGAAAAAAACACGCGGACACGGATCGGCCCCTGAAGCTATCCTGGAGTGCGCTTTGACCAGAAATTCGAAGCGGAAACGCCGTGGCCACGAGGACACCCCAGACAACGACAGACGTCCAGACAGCGAACCTCGATCATCAATCCTCGAAGCAAGCTCGACCCTCGAAGGCGGGGGGCGGCGCGCCGCCTCGCAGGAGGAGGAGGAGGAGGAGGAGGAGGAGAGGAGGAGGAGGAGAGAAGAGGAGGAGCAGAGGAAGGAGGAGGAGGAGGAGCAGGGAGAGGAGGGAGGAGCAGGAGGAGGAGGAGAAGGATGAGGCGGAGGATCAGGAGGAGCAGAGTAGAGAGGAGGAGAGAGGGAGGAGGAGGAGAGAAGGAGGAGGAGGAGCAGGAGCTGCAGGAGGAAGAGGAGGAGCAGAAGGAGGAGAGAAGGAGGAGGAGAGAAGGAGGAGGAGGAGCGGAAGGAGGAGGCTTCGCCCAACACTCCTTCGGGGCAAGGGCCGGGCGGGGGCGGGGGGCGGAGGGCCGCACGGCCTCGCAGAGCAGGTCGATGGCGTCGACCTCGGCGTTGTGCTTCATGTTGAAGGGGACGATCTCCTGCCGAGGAGGGCCACACTCCACTTCCTCGCGCTCATGCTTCTCCTCCTCCACTTCCTCCTCCCACTCGTCCTCATGATCGTCCTCCTCCTCCTCCTCCTCCTCCTCCTCCTCCTCCTCCTCCTCCTCCTCCTCCTCCTCCTCCTCCTCCTCCTCCTCCTCCTCCTCCTCCTCCTCCTCCTCCTCCTCCTCCTCCTCCTCCTCCTCCTCCTCCTCCTCCTCTTCCTCCTCCTCCTCCCGGCTCAAGTCCTGATCACACCGCTGGAGGTGCAAGACGACAGCACTGCCGCCCAGGGAAGGCCCTGGGCGCTGGGGCTCGAGCAGGCCACCCGCGGCCTCTTCGGCACCACGATCACGAAGTCTGCTTTCGCTCCCTTGTGCGCTCGCCTCGCCTGATCCGCCCCAGTCACAGTTAGCCACGCGGAGTGATGGCGTTCCTGTGTGCCGCCCTACGGAGTGCGGCCCCAACGTCGTCGCGTAGCGCCTGCCGCCGCGCCAGAGCTCGCGCAACCCATGCGCGCAAGCTCCAGGAGGCCAACGGCCGACTGGCTGGCCTTTTTGCGGCAGGCCCCCCGCCTGGACTCGTGACGCAGCTGCCCATCGCGTCGGGCATGCTGTACCACGAACTCGAGGAGAATTTCTGGACGCCCACTGCCATGCTGGCCTCCGACATGGAGGCCAACGAGCTGGTCACCTACGGTGAGGGCCTCACGAACGAGCTGCTGCGGATCCTTTCGCCACAGCGCGTGGAAGACACGGAGCAGTACGCGGCCGCCGTGCCTGGAGTCATCGATGACTCGGACGCCGAGCATATCGAGAAGGCCGTAGCCGAGAAGCCGCACGACGGCTTCGACATCCAGGCTGTGGACCCAGAGCATCCCCAGGGCACGGAGCCCTTCGATGTGGAGGGAGACGACGGCGACGACATCAAGAAGTCTGCGGACGAGCAGGTGGTGCAGTTCGCAGCGGAGCGGGCTGCGGAGCCGCCCAAACAGGAGGCGATTAAGGCGTCGGAAGCGACCCAGGAGGACACTGTGCAGATCGAGCAGGCTGTGCTAGAGAAGCTGCACGACGGCTTCAGAAGCCAGGCAGAGGTCCAGGAGCAGTTCCTGGGCACGAAGCCTTTCGATGAGGCGGCCCCCACGACGACGCCATAGAGGTCAATTCCGAGGTGGTCCAGGAGCAGTTCGACACCACTAGCTGGAAGTACCGCGCTGGAGAAAACTGGCTGTCCTTCGGCAATCAGAGCGCGGAGATAGAGAAAGCATATGTTCAGTTCGTTGCAGGAGAAGGCGACCGGCATTACAACATGAAGATTGATAGTTGCACGCCTGTCCGACTAGACTTTGTCCTTTTCTGTATGAAGCCACGCTATAAAAGCAAGTTCAATAGCTTCAGCTTCAGTTACAAGCTGTGGAGGCCGCGAGTAGCGTTGCCCGCCTCCTCCGCCTCCTCCTCCTCCTCCTCCTCCTCCTCCTCCTCCTCCTCCTCCTAATCCTCCTTGTTCTCGTCCTCCTCATCCTTCCTGCCCGCCTCGCTCGTCGCTCCTGATGCTGCTGTTGCTGCTGCTGCTGCTGCTGGCCCGTCCCTACTGATGGTGCCGTTTCTCCCGCTCCTCCACGTGATCCTTTTCCTCCTCCTCCTCCCTCTCAACCTCAACCTCATCATCCCCACTTTCGCGTTCCTCGTCCTCTTCGTCCTTTTCCGCCATGATGCCTTTTTCGCTGTCTGTGCCTATAGATACGATAAATCGACCCCGCATAATCCATCGCGTGCATCAATACGACTAGCAGCATCATACGCATCGCCGCTATCGCCACTACAATAATGAGAAGACCGTCGTGCCATCATTGGCAACCTCCTCATCGGCATCATCATCTGCACAACCCAAGGTCACACATCAACATCGTTGTCACAATCAGCAACCCTAGACATAATTTCGTCATCGGCCTCGCTCGTCGCCGCCCCCCCCAGGTCCCCCGCCGACATAATCATCACCATCCTCACCAGCATCATCATCATCATCATCATCACCACCATCCTCCATCATCACCACCGCCAGCATCATCACCATGAGCACCATCAGCATCATCAACACAATCATCATCACGATCAGCAGCAGCGGCCGCAACAGCATGAGTATCAGCATCATCGTCATCAACAACACCCGCATCATCCTCATCAGCACCACCACCACCAATCGTCTGCATCGCCATCATTCTCAACAACAACATGAGCACCATGATCCTCATCATAAGTGTCGTCGCCGTCATCGACATCATCAGAAATGTCATAAGAATCGGCATATAAGCATCAGCAGCATCATCATCACCATCATCCGCATCATCAGCATCATCACCCTGATCATCATCACCACCGCCCCCGAGATCATCGTAACAAGCATCATCAGCAGCAGCAGTATAAGCCGCAGCAGCAGCAGCAACATCTTCATGATGATCAGCATCAGCATCACCACCATCATCATCAGCATCAGTATCATCGTCGCCGTCGTCATCAGCAGTCATCATCATCATCCTATCATCATCACCACAACAACCGTCACCACAATCATCATCATCAGCAGCATCATCATGATCACAACCGCTCCGCTTGACATCCTCGTCATCTGCCTACTCTCTTTTGTCATCCCGCTATGGGTTGTCATGTCCCTCCTCATCATGATGGCATGATCACCATCGCCCTCATCATCTCAGTCATGGTCATAGCTGTGATAATCGTAGTGAATATTACTATTATGCCTGACTCAATGTTTTGATCAAAGCCCTCGTCCTCCGTACATTATTCAAAACATAGTCATAGCGATATCCCTACCCCTCTTCATCATCCTGTTCATCATCATCCCTGTCCTCCTTGTGATATTTATGTACATATTCATCCCCCTTCTCTTCCTCAGCATGATCATCCTTATGCTAATCTGGCTTCTGGCTCATCCTCATATGTCTGCTAGTTTAATTTGTTGATCGTCATCCTGCACCTCCTCCTTCACGATCTCCTCATCCTTTCCCTCGTCCTCCTCCTCCTCTTCCTGCCCATCCTTCTTCGCCTTTTTCTACTCATCCTCTTTCTCTTCCTCCTCCTCCGCATCATCATTACGAACATAATCGTCATCATCAGCATCATCACCGTCTCTCCTTCCGTCCCGCTGCGACAGGCGGAAGCGAGAGCAGCACGGGAGAGGGGATGTTGTTCATTCTACGCCGGCGCGCCGCAACGGCCGAGCTCGCTCGGCAGGATCCTGAGAGGCGCGTCGACGCCTGGAAGCTCGGCCGGCTGCGCTCGAAGGCCGCTGCACTTGCCCTGAAGCGCAAGGCGCCATGGCCGGGGCCGGCACGGGGGAAGGAGCGCGGGGACAACGGCAGCTGCGCGCCGAAGAACTCGGCGCGGAACTCACGGCAGGCCGCGGCCCAGCGCGCGGCCGTCAAACCTTGGAGGAGCGGGGCGGACTCCTCGCCAGGGCGCGAACGGCGGTCGCCCGAGCCGCCAAGCTAAAATTAAGGACGAGCTGCGCGACCCAGCCGCGGTCGTGGGCCCCGACGATGGTGGAGGCGTCGAACTCGAAGTCCTTGGCCGGCGGTGCGCCGGGGTCGTCGGCGTTGAACGGCGCGCTGGCGATGACCACGCCCAGGGCGCCGGCAGCCGGCGGCGCCACGCGCCGCGCCGTCAGGCCCAGCACCTCGGCGGGGCGGAGGTAGCAGTCGAAGGCGAGCACGGCGGCGGCCGCCGCGAGGGCAAGGAAGCCACCGCGGCGCAGCCACGCGTCGCACCGGAGGGCCAGCTCCAGGCGAAACGCGGGGCCGCGCACCGCGCGCCGCGCTATGGCCGGCGGCAGCCCGTCGAAGACCACGGCGTCGAGAAATTAATCGAGCACCGCGCCCCGCGCGGCCGGGCCGCGAGGCTCGCGCCCTGACTGCCTGGCCCAGCGGCCGACCTCTGCGAACGACTCTCGGCAGCGCCGAGCCGCTGCGGGGCGAGCGGCGGCGCGGCGGCAGGCCCCGGGGGCGTTGCCGCAGGCCTCGCGGCGGGCCTCGGCGCGGCGCCCGGCTGCGCGCCGCTTGGACGCAGGCGGCGCGACGAGCGCGGAAGTCCGCCAGCTCGCCCCGCCAGGGCCCCGGGGCCCCCGCGGGCGGCGGAAGCCGCCCGGCGGCGCAGCTGAGCGGCACACCCAGGCAAGCGCAACAGCCAGGCGAAGAAGGTAGGCCGAGGCGAAGGCGGTGCGCCACCGCGGCCGCTCGCCGGCCAGCTGCACCTTGCCGGAGAGCACGGGGCGCCCGGGGCCGTGCGCCGGCGGCAGAGGCCGGGGCCAGCGGGCAGCGTCGTCGGCTTCTTCCACGCGGCCCCGCACGCGCACATGTCGAAGTCGCAGCGCACGGCCCCGAGCCTCGCCAACCCCCGAACAACTTCCGGCTCGCTGAACAGGCTGCTGCGAGCAGGATCCCCCGGAATGACGCGGATCCCGCGGCGCGCGGCGATCCGCGGGATCTCGGCGGCGAAGGCCGCGCAGGCGCGGGCGGGGCGGCCCCCCTGCCGTCGCCCAGGCGGGCACCCATCCTGCGCAAGGGGTGCTCAGGAAGATGCGCCACGCCAGCCCGCTGGGCACCCAGTCGAGAACCTCCCGCTGCATGCAAGGGCCCAGCAGATCGCGATCGATGGCCACCGCGGCGCGCGGGCCCTCCTGCGCGACGGCGGCGGCGGCGGCCCGCAGACCGAGCACAGCTCGAGGAGGACTGGGGGCGAGGTCGGCCAGGCCGAGCGCCCGCGGGCCCCCGAGGCGGCGGGCGCCGCGGCGGCCGCGCCGAGAGCGCTGGGCGGGGGGCCGTGACTGCGAAGGTCTAACCCCCCGCCTGCCTTGCGCCGGGGGCCGCGCGGCGGCTGGCGCGGCGGCCTACCGATCGCTGCCGTTTGGCCGCCTGGGCGCTGGCCTCCAGCGGCCACTGCACCTTGGCGCTGGCCACCAGCGGCCACGGCACCCAGCACCCTCGCGCGGGCGCCTGGGAGGCGCGGCCGTCTCGGCGGCGGCCGCCTGCCACTCCGGCCCCAATGCGGCGGCCAGGGGCACCTGGCGGGGGAGCGCTCCCGGCGCGCGCCGCCCAATGGGCACCGGTCACCGCCCGGCAATGCGGGAGTCGAAGTCCGACGGGTTCCGCACGGTCTCCGAAGCGCTGCCGCCAGGCGACGCCAGCGCCCACCTGAAGGGCGCAGGCGCGGCGGGTGAGCGCGAGGAGCTCCCCGCCCCGCGCTCGGCCCCAGTCGATAGCCAATATCTCCGAGCGGTTGTCGCCGAAGGAGACGAGGCGGCGCCCGAGGGACATGGCGTCGCGGGCATCGCGGTCGAGGCCGAGCAGCCATGGTCGGTCCTGGCAGCGAATGGCGGCGGGCCGGCGCCCGGGGCCGACAGTGCCGCGGCGCCAGCGGCTCGGCCGCGCCCACTCGGCCGCGATCGGCGGCACCAGGCCGACGCGTTCGCGAATGCCGCGAGGCGGCCGACCGGAGCGCCCGCCCCCAGCCTTCTGCGCGGCCGCGCTGGGGGGCGGCTCGAGGGCGCCGGCGACCCAGCGCGAGAAGGCCCCCGCCGGCAGGGGGGGGCATCGGCGCCGCGCATGGCCGCCGACGACGCTGCAGGCCCACCGTCGTCGTCGACGAAGCGCCAGCGCTCGCGCCGGACGGCCTCTCGCCAGAGGCTCTCGGGGGCGGCGCCGGCGCAGTGGAAGGCGTAGCCTTCAGGGGGGGCGTCACCGCAGCAGGCCTTGGCATCTCCCCCGAGATGTCGACATGCCCGAAATGGCAAAGACCCCGAGCGATGGCCAGCTCCGCGAGGGCCCCTTCCGGCAGCGGGCGCACGCCAGAGCCCCCCTTCCCCGCGAAGCGAAAGCACTCGCCGAGCACCGAGAGGCACCGCCGCAAGCAGAACTGGCGGCACAGGTGCCCCAGGAGCCGACGCATATAGTCCGGCGAGATGAGATTGACCCGGAGCGGCGCGCCCAGCCCGTACCAGAGCCGCCACGAGCGACGCGCCGCACGACGGGCCCAAAAGCGGCGCCCGTCGAAGCACAAGTCGAGAGCCGAAATCCAGGCGCGGCTCGACCCGCTCGCGCACCGCGAGCCCAGCTTCCTCGTCGAGCTCCCGGACCACTGCAGCCAAGAGGGTCGCGACGGAGGCTTCGCCGCCCCCGAGGACGCTGGCGTCGTCCACGTAGGGTTCGCGGACCGCGGCGCCCACGGCGAGCGGCGGCGGCGGCCCCCCGCCCCCCGGCAGGCGCCCCGAGAGCCCGAGCGAGCGCTGAGCGCGGCCGCGGGCCTCGCACACGGCGCCGC